TGTGTGTGTGTGTGTGTGTGTGTGTGTGTGTGTGTGTGTGTGTGTGACAGTATACGTGCATACGTATATATTTATGTATACAGTGTGTTCCCGAATTAAATGATCAAACTTGAAATATATGAATTTATATCAAATACCTAGATAGAAATGCGCGATGATTATATTTCGTCACAATGTGACTTCATACTATGATTTCAATTTGATACTTTTTTAAAGATCATTATGTGATTTCAGGACATGAGTACGAGATGCACATAAATGATGTACAATTTATTATTTTCGTGACATCATGACATGAACTATATCTGAGCTACATATGAACCCGCATTGATATATATTTTTGTCCTCATACTTTGAAGATATATGGTACAACATGAGCTCAAAATGAACACATTTTTCTATCTGGGTATATATAAATTTAGGATCTTAAAACTAAAAATTTTCCTTTGGATGTAAATTCGCAAATGCTTCATTCAAAAAATATTGATTTTTAAATTACAGAACTATAGAAATGAATAATGTATTTAGGTAATCTAGATTTATCCTCTTTATTGCTTTACAATAATCAAAATTTAATGATTAAATGTTTTGTTCGAGATAAAGCCCCCAACTCGAAGACAAGCATTGCATTTATAGATAAGAGAGCGAGTGGCTAACTAATATTGTACGTCTATAATTCCTTTGTATGCTTACACTATTTTCTATTTCAATGATTATAATCAGATCATTAACAGACACTTTATACAATTTTTTCTTGAAAGCATCCCATACAAAAAATTTAGTGATGTTAAGGTTTTAATTTTTGCCGGCCATAAAATTAGCCTATTTTTACGAATTTTTTAAAGAAAATCTATTATATATAGGAAGATGCGGTTTTTTTCATGAAATTGTTTAACATTTAAACAGCAAAAAAATATTTTTTGTTTATAAAAAGGTGCGTTTTAATGTCTCCAAATGGCGATCGAATTAGAGGTCATTGAAAAACCACGCTTCCATGGTGGAAGTGATTCAGCCTCTGCAAATTATCTGAAACCAAAAATCCGACGATTTTTATTAATTATATGAGTGTCGCCATGGCTGGTACTAGAATGAAGTCGATTGCATAGAATTTATAAAAAATACGGCATTTAAAAAAAGTTTGATTTTTCCCCAAAAAATCTGTTACTTTTTTGCTTATAAAAAATCGAATTTTTGTTTTAAAAACTTAATTTTAATATCAGACATGTGCAAAAGTGTTAGGATCAAGAAAAAAAACCGCAAAAGGTTATCTTTATTAGTTTTTATTGGTTTATTAGTTATCACTTCCACCAGCTTGAAAAACATGGTTTCAAGAAAAACGCGTTTAAAGTTTTAGTTTGACTTTTTTTATATATAACAAAATTTTTAGCGTTATTTACGGTTATTCTGCAATGCCAGGCGCATACAATTAACCCCCCTGCTTCTTCAAAAAAATCATTTTCTGCCAGTTTCTCTAATCGCCATGCTGTTCTGGCTTCTTTTGAAGAACTTGATGTGCGAAGATTAGCTAGCCTCACGCGTTGTCTGTCTTTCATTGGCACACAGCTTCGCAGTTATTCCAATACGGATTCCCAATATGTTCATTATTTTCAATAAACTTTTAAATCCGTCATTGAATGTACAGGTTGTCAAAAAATGCTGCGACAGATATAATTTTTGCATCAGAAAAGATATGTTTCGGCGCGAAGTGTCACAGAACTCTGTTATAACTCTCGTTATTATTTTATGTATGTTCCCCGAGACATCGCGTTAACAAATTATTATCAGATAAGTCTTCATAAATTTTATAAATGGCAGTTTGAAAGCCAAAGATGGATCGTAATGATAATTTTGAAGTGTGCCGTTAGTCTCCGCGACGCGCCAGCTACACCAAGAATTTGACCCTGGAGGACATTGAGAATTCATGGGCTCTTCATCAGTTGATATTTTATGATAATATATCGCCCATACTGCATTTTTCATATCCTACAAGGACTCTGTATTTCGTCGTATTGCTAATCCATAATAAATAGTGAGATCTTTAATTAATTTTTCTGTTAATTTTCCTGCTTCCTTGCCACCAATACCTTTGTGCGATTTTTTGGCATTTCTCAATCTACTCCTTATTTTTAAACGTGTGCAATACATTCTTTTTTTTTACCGATAATTCTCATATGGGTTTTCATTGACTAAACTTTTAAAAGTTTTGTTATCTCCATCACCTATATAATTTTCGTACATAACGCCGTGTAAATCTTTTGAACATTGGAACATTTCAATAATGCCGTCGACTTCCATTTTTCCAACGCTTCCTAAATGATTGATCGTGCAGTTTTCTTCGTGTTCTTCTTGCCACAATAAATCTTTTATAGAATCATCATGTTTTCGAAGTGAACATGCTTTACAAAAGCTAGATTTAATCACATCTAGTACCTTGTTTGTGTACTTTCCGATGAGTAATAACACCAAATAAGGACGAGAAGCCTTTTTTGCTTCATGTACCATCACCAAATATAGTTAAATGTAACGGTTTGTTTCCTGCTTTTGTATTTTCATCGGTTTTTTCTTTTGCGGCGTTTTTCAAACTAAGATCGTGCACAGGTTGCGCGGCTGTGTAAATATTATTCATAGCAGTATAGTACATACGTGTAGTAAAGCCGTTACATAAATCCATTAAACCACAAAATATATTTAAGCCACTCAGGCCAATGCCCAAAATGCTTAACACAAACACTATGCGTCGATTAGTTTCAAACAATCGATTGTTAATAAAAGGACAAGACTCAATGCTTTCTGTTTTGCAGCTATACTCAACGTCTAATTTAAATCCTAATCCCATTTCTCCACTCTTACTGATACGAATAAGTGGGATCAGAGGGGTGTCGTGTATTACGAGCCGCTGAAACCGTCGGAAACTATCACTGGGGATCATTATCGACTGCAACTGATCCTTTTGAAGTGAGCTCTGCACGAGAAGAGGCCGGAATGGAAGAATCACCATGACAAGTTGATTTTGCAGCATAACAACTCCAGGCCGCACGTTGCTCAACCAGTCAAGAAGTACTTAGAAGGAGTGAACTGGGAAATCCTATCCCACCCATTATTTTCCCCAGACATTGCTCCCTTCGATTACTATTTGTTCCGGTTGATGCATTCAGCGCTTACGGCACAGCACTTCACCTCGTACGAAGGAGTCAAAAAATGACTGGATTGCCTCCAAAAAACCCGAATTCATCCTGCGTGGAATCCGATTGTTGACCGAAAGATGGGCCAAGGTTGTTTGTTCCGATGGGTAATACTTTGAATAAACCAGTTCGTCGATTTGCTACCAAACTACTGTCGTTTCTTTCGCTAAAAAATAGGCGGTTTCGTATATAATCACCTAATACATTTTCAAGAATACAATGTATCAAAAATAAGCAATATGGTAATAGAAAAATTACAATATTTTTTTGCAGATGCTTGCACTACTTCAGTTCCTGCGAAAGGTTACAGACCCATACGGTAAATTATCGAGAAATGAACAACTGCGCTATCCTGCTGCCCAGCGAAGATAATAAATTACTAAATTTTAGCAACTACAACAAGAAAGAGCGACTTCCGTTTGTTGTGTACGTGCATCTGAAGTGCATCTTAAAGAAGATTATGAGCGAGAAGAAAGAGGAGGAGGAATGCACATCGCGTGCATACCAGCATCATAGGGTACTTAGTATAGCATATTACACGTGTTGTTCGTATGATGATTCTTTATCCGCATATCGATATCGTCGATAATAACTGCATCATTCGTGACTGCATAGTTCGTCGAGGAACTCAAAGAATTAGCTCACTGCGTAAAAGCTGTTCTATTCACCAATGTTCTGTTACGTCCCGTACCTTCATTCAGAATGCATTTCGTAAAATTAACCACTCATCCGATAGAATTTTGAAATAATTAAGTAAATAAGAAGGGCTTGAATTTTGAGTCATAACTTCGAGTCACCTTACAAAACACTTGTACAAATATAGCCCTGAATCACGTCGCCCACACTGCACATGACCATAAATCACCGAAATCTTCTTCTATCATGTAACCCAATCGAACATTCTCAAATTTTCCATGATTTCCTCCAATCCAAGCTACTATCCTCACTTCAGGTACGTCATCTCCGACTAATCCGGTAATAGTTATTCCCGAACTTCCTAATTTTAAAACCTATCCATCTATAGGCAATATACTTTGATTTCTTCTTGCGTTTATACACCTACACGCATACTCACACATTCACACACTTGTAGCCCATAATTTTGTTATTGTAACCTTCCTAATTATAACGAGCCGCGATGAATAAATTTGTGTTTACTGATTAATTAATCCTACTTAAAATTTCATTTTCTCCAATCCCTTTCCCTCCGATTATTCGCTCTAGGTCCAATTCCGAGTAAAGAGATTCGGTTCTCTGACTCAAAATAGGACCACTCGCCGTACGTCGACACACGCATAAAACGACTCTTCTGGTCGCTGACTCATTCCTCGACCTACGTGTACGGTCTAGGCTTATCGTAAGCATTTCGTCACGTTACGTTCTCTTCTAAAACGTAACAGTTCTTATGGAAACGTTATCGAAAAAGCAATGAAAGACATTTCGTAACACTACGCAATGCTATGTGTGTGAAAAATTTTTCATAGAAGCCGATACAAAAGTACGCAATCATTGCCATCTCACCGGTCGCTATCGAGGTCCAGCGCATTCAAATTACAATTTAAATTATAAAAATTCTTTTTACATTCCTATAGTTTTCCATAATTAATTTGGCTATGATTCACATTTTATTATAAAGGAAATAGCAAATTCATTTGAAGACATATTGACGTTCTACCGATAACAAAAGAAAAATATATATAATTTATTAAACACGTCAAAGATACGACAAAAAAAATCTGAATCACGAAATTACATACGGTAACAATATTACATATGGTACAATAGTTACGGTTTATCAATTCGTACAAATTTTTAAATACCAGTCTCGACAAATTGGCTTCGTTTCTCGACAAAGACAAATTAAAAATTTTACGGTCTGAATTTTCAGACTTTCCAATTTTAATTTATTGACGCGAAAAGGCGTCTTTCCATATAAATATCTTGATTGTGCGGACAAGCTGCAGGACCCATGTTTACCACCACGTGAATCATTTTATAGTTCATTAACAGATGAAACAGTATCCGAGAGCGATTACGCGCATGTTGTGAACGTCTGGCAACAATTCTCTATTCAAACCCTGGGCAAATGAAACGACTTGTACCTGAAGACTGATATTTTGTTACTGGCTGATATTTTTAAAAATTTCCGCGATAGTTGCATCCAAAGTTATAGATTAGATCTCGCGCAATATTACACTTTACCAGGTTTCACTTGGAATGCTAAAACATATACGGGTTGTTTTCGAACTACTCATAGATATTGATATGGTTATGTTCATTGAGCGCGGTATACGCGGCGGTCTGAGTCAATGTTCCAGTAGATACGCCAGTAGATGATCCAGTAGAAATATGGTAAACAGTACACGTATATGCGCGGTGAGGGACTCCCCCTTCCCAAAAAACCTAACTCTAACCTAACTCTAACCCATCTATTGAAATATGATAAACGATAGACGTATATGCGCGGGGAAGGGATTCCGCCCCTCCCCAAAGAAACTAACCTATCTATTGAAATATGGTAAACAATACACGTATATGCACGGGGGAGGAGCAGTGCTGGGAGTTCGGGATATATTTTCGCGCACGCGCATTGAGCAAACGCTGTGGTAACCTCAGCGCCGTATCTATTTTAAGGTATCGTAAGATCCCTCACTTAAAAGAAAATATGAAGGGATTGTAGGAAGAAAAGAAAGTTTGTGGAAAGAAACAGAATGCTGTTCATGAGTAAAAATAAATATATTTTTATTTTGTAATTTCTGCAGCTAACCAATCTTTGAAAATATTCATATTTAACTATGCATATTGGAATTTTCTTCTCACACATTTCCTCTTCTTTTCCTCGATGCCGCTTGATAACGAAGGCTGTTATTGATCCATTTCTTTCTTCAATAGGGCACTTTTTTTCTTTAATTAACTTAATATTATAATTGCACTTTTTTTATCACAGTATCACTTTATATTAAATTTGCACTTTTTTATTACATTTTATTTATTATAAATATATAATATATATACATATTATATTATCACATTTTTTCACATACACAGCTACACTAATTATTATAACTATATTAATTATGCTAATTTATTATTGTAACATTTCACTACATCTAACCTAACCCTAACCACTCGCGGGCAAACAACAATAGACAGACGGCCAAGTATTAGGTGGTAAACTTAATTCTTGCGGCTCACAGTTAGATGACGTTAGTTGTAGGTGTAATTTATTTTGACATCTGAAACTGGCTGCATTTTAAAGGTTAGACATTTGTCAATAAAATTCAGTGCGAAGAGATTCATTTAAGCGAGCAGTGCTATTTTTTCTTTTGATTAAATATGGAACGTGATAAGTTGTTTTTTCGACATGTGCTGCTTCATTACTTTGACTTGAAAAAAACTGCAGCTGCAGCTCATAAATTGCTTTTCGAAGCTTATGGCAATTATGCTCCATCGGAAAGAACATGCCAAGTATGGTTTCAGCGATTTAAGAGTGGTGATTTTGATGTCAATGATAAAGAACGCTCAGGCCAACCGAAAAAGTTTGAAGACACCGATTTGCAGGCATTATTGGACGAAAACTCTACTCAAACGCTCCAAGAATTGTCTGCAGCATTAAATGTTACTCCGATGGCTGTTTCCAAACGTCTACATGCAATGGGAAAAATTCAAAAGGAGGGAAAATGGGTACCACACGAATTAAACCGCAGGAACTAAGTTTACCACCTAATATTTTATGCATGTCCCCTAAAAACCCTCTACTTGTGCCTAACGCCGTCATTGGAAACTGCTTACGTCGAGCTGCTACGTCATCTCACTCATGCGCAGAAGGGTTCCTGTCAGCTAGAAAATATCCTGAACTCCCAGCACTGGAGAGGAGGTGCGGAGGAAGGGGCGGAGCCCCTCCCACGCGCATATACGTGTACTGTTTACCATATTTCCATGTACGCTGTATGCAAAAATTACGTTCAACTTCTAAAACTTCTTTTGTTAATAACTTTTTAACAAATAACGAACGACGGTTAAAACCTTCTGCAGGTTACTCAGGAGGGTGACCTCTATAATATATGTCAAGATCAAAGTCATCGGAGGTGACTCCCCTAAAGTGATCATTTACCCAAACAATTTTGAGAAAAATTTGTACAAATTAATGAACAATGCAATACTTGGCAAAACTGGCAAAAAATGGAAAACGTTCGCAATTATGTAAACGTAAAACTGTTAACAAAATGGGTACGGTATCAAGGCAATGATCGTGAAACCAAATTTTCATAATAGAAGCGTTTTCACTAAAAAATTAATCCCCAGTAAGCAAATTGACCGCAGAATGTGTGCAAATTGGCAGCAAATTTGATAAAAAATTTACACTAAAACCATAGCCATCTGTATCCTCATTCAGCTACGGTTTTGGCGACAGAGTTTGCTGTCGGGCAATTGCTGCAGATTTACAGCAAAAACCGCGCAGAGCCTGCAGCGCAGCAAGGTCTGCGCGGTTTCTGCCGCCAATCTGCCGTCAGATTGCTACAAACTCTGTACGGTTTTTGCTGCAAATCTGCAGCAATTATCCGACAATAGGCTCTGTAGCATATCTGGCGACAGTTTGGCAGCAAGATTTGATATAACAGATTTTGCATCAAATTTTTTAACTATTTGTCATCAAAAATTAGTACCAAGTTCTGCTCGAAATCTGTTCGCACAGGTTTGGCTACCTGGGTTGCTGTTGAATTACGTAAACTCAAGGTGAAGTTCAACAAGTCGATCTATGTGGGTATGTGTATTCTCGACATATCAAAGGTTTGAACTTGTATGAATTTCACCACGAGTACATGTTTCCCCTTCATCGTCAAAATTGTAAAATTATGTACACCGACACCGATAGTTTGATTTATCATATTCAATGTGATGACATTTATGAATACATGAAACGTGATATTGACAAATTCGATACGAGCGATTATCTTGCTGACAATATGTACGGTATACCGCTTGTAAATAAGAAAGTTCCAGGCTTGATGAAAGACGAAAACAACGGAGCGATAATGATGGAATTCGTCGGACTTAGAACAAAGATGTACGCGTTAAGAGTATGGTAAAAGGGACGGTAAAAGGGACGCGAAAAAGGCCAAAGACGTTAAGAATAATGTCTTAGCGCAAACGAAAACTTTTGACGATTATACACAGTGCCTGAGAGATGAAGTCGAGAAGAGTTGTCAATAAGTGTATATACGATTAAAATTGCATGAAGTCTACACAGTGTCCGGAAAAAAACTCGCTTTGAGTTCATACGATGCCAAGCGGTATATTGTGCCCGATTCGACCGACACGTTACCATGGAGACATTATAGGATACCATTGTCAATATATAATGGTTATATTAAGTTAAGGTATATTTTAATATGGTATGATAATTACAAAATGTAATAATAAATTTATTCGTTTTACGAAACATTATCCTTTTATATCCAAGAGTTGTATGATTTATCAATCCTAATCATTTCACCTAAACTTTATCATCTTTTCTGCGCAACACTTTTTCTACCAAGTATACGTTTGTATTGACGATGCGATGCAGTTCATGTTCGTAGAATACTCCGGCGATAGGTTGTCCGCGAAAATCCTCGAGCAGATAAGTTACGGGGTTAGTTGCTTGTACTTTGGCAATGGTAGATAATTCGGGAGCGGTGCACTTGGACACGGTGCATTTGGACACAGCCAATCACAGCACCGTGTGATTAGAGACATTTGTAGGGTCCCTTAGAACAGCGACTTGTGATTGGACTGTGTCCAATTGCCTCGTGTCCAACTGATATACACCCGATAATTCAGTTGTCCAGTTCGGCGTGTAATCCTTCTCGAAGGTAGTCTTGAATTTGCTAACACGTACATGGTCACCCATTTTGAATCTAACAGACGCTACGATTTTTACGTTGCTGTACACCGTACTTAGGAGCTTATCGGCAATGGCGGGGGTAACATCGATAAGACGCATTTCGATGATTCGATGTTTACGTCCGTTATATCGCGATACGAAATTCGGCAACGTATCGATTCATTTGTAAGTTCCGTTGAATGTAAACATTTTCCACATATTATTTTTTAATGTGCGATTGAATCGTTCCACGACGGAGGCCTTCATTATCGAGTACGTCGAATAATGATTGATGTTATGTTTTTTTGCTAGTTTCTGAACATCTGCGTTGTAAAACTCTTTTCCTTGATCGGTTTGAAAATTTGTCGGACATCTTTTATCGTCTCGAATTATCTTGATAAACACTTCAGCTATTTTTTTTGCTCTTGCTCTTCAGCGGGACAGCCCACGCGTATTTGCTCAGCACATCGTTAACGGTGAGTATATAATAATAGTTGCTGTTGAATCTCGAACAAGAACGCACCTCTACCACATCGGCTTGCCACAGATCATCGTATCCGCGTACAATAACGTGACTACGGGAAAAATTTTTTCTCGCTGGAGCATGCAACTCATTCACCAACCGCCGCTTTTCAGAGCGTTTCTTTTTTTCGTCAGTTTCTTTTTTATTGATTTTTCCCCCATTGCAGAGAGTATTGGTTTGAAAATTGTCACTTGTATTACACCTCACACACTTTGAATGTCCTGCTCAAGCGTGACAAGACTCTTTTATGATTCTTTAAGTTGATCTCTCCACAGTTTGATGGTCTCTTCCAAGTATTGTTTATTCATTGTAGTAATATTTTATTTTTACGTTTTCTTAGAGTTTAATATCATAGAATGTTCAATTCATAGAACGTTTAATATCATAGAGTTTAATATGTCAGAACGTAGAAAATTTACATTTGTATCAATGCTACTTTGAAGATTATATATGCTCATGGAGTTTTTCTTCTCAAACTTCCCTTATAGAAATATCATACTAAAAAATACTGAAAAATTATTAGTGATTAAATATTACCAATAATTCAGTAATTTTTTGGCCAGTACTTAATTTCTGGTGAATACTGATAATAAAATCACTGTTAAATATTGATAGTAATCAAATATTGAGAATTATTATGCAAAGGTGAAAAATGAGAAAATCATAATGTTTACAAAAATATACTTATATTCCTAATTTTCTCATGTCTCATAAACTACTAGATATCGAAGGTTGTCAACACATTCCAAACTTTAGTGAATCCTCCTGCGATAATTTCGATCCCAAGCGGTATATCACTGGTCACCAATCCATGTCCTGATTCCGTTAAAGTGTTGCTTAACCTGACGATCGAGCGGCACGCGGCGATTCCCAATGACTCCTACGATATTCTTATGATTACCCTTATAGAAATATCATACTAAGAAATACTGAAAAATTATTAGTGATTAAATATTACCAGTAATTCAGTAATTTTTTGGCCAGTACTTAATTTCTGGTGAATACTGATAATAAAATCGCTGATAAATATTGATAATAATCAAATACTGCGAATTATTATGCGAAGATGAAAAATGAGAAAATCATAATGTTTACAAAAAAATACTTATATTCCTAATTTTCTCATGTCTTACCCTTATCCAGTATTTTTATTATCCAGTATTTTTAATACTGAAAATAAGTAATTATCAATGATTCTTAGTATGATATTTCTATAAGGGTATAAACTACTAGATATCGAAGGTTGTCAACAACATTCCAAACTTTCATGAATCCTCCTGCGATAATTTCGATTCCAAGCGATATACTACTGGTCACCCCAACCATGTCCTGACCGCATTAAACTGTTACTTAACCTAACTGTTACTTGTCCTGATCGAGCGCGCACGCGGTGACTCTAATGACTCCAACGATGTTCTTGCAATTCATGCTTATATAATGTATCCTTATGTTGTTCACAGTATATTATAACATACCTAGCAAACACCAAATAATAGTTATATAATTTTTACTTGTTGTTTATTGGATAATTTGTTGATAGATGTTGAAACAATGCAACATTCGATATGCGATGAATATTAATGTAATGTAGTGAACCGGTGATAATTACTTTTACATTTTTAACAAAATATTATAATGATTAATCCAACAAAAAAAAATTAAAAAATCCAAGAAAATCCAAATTAAACAAATCGAATTACTAAATTTTGAGAAACTTTTAAAAAATATTATTTAAAACAATAGTGTTGTTTCATCAAAT